TTCACTGTGGAGGAGAATGGGGGGAGAGCACTGTTTTTAGGTAAGGTTACTTTGAAGTAAGGGGCGTACGTTTGTTAGCTGCCGTTTTCATCACAACTTAAGCAACTTTGCATTCATAAATCCCCAGACGATTGGTGGGTGGAGATATCTCTGGTATCTTGTATCTATAGTTTATAGCTGGCAGATCTTTGGGAAGTCTGCTGGTCAGAAAACAAAATCCCTGCTGCTGTTGGACCAGGGATAAAACATTTCAGGACTGAGGCAAATAAATCCAGATAAATTCTAATAATAAAACAGATGAGACAGGTTGGCAGTAAAACGCTGTATAGAATGAATCAAACACTTACGTTAGAAAGATTTTTTGTGTTTCAAAAGATGTAACTGATATTTCACAAAGTGCCGTCCCATTTCTATTTATTCCTCTCACATGAAAAGATAAGGTCAGATAAGGGTGAGGGTTCAGTGCTCAGGTTTCAGTGTGGAGATTGAGATTCAGCCAAAGACTAAATATGTGTGTGTTTATTGGGTAAATACCGGCAGAAGCAGGTCGGTCTGGAGGCTGTTGAACTTTACAGAATGGACCAGGATCCACTTCCTGACTATTTGTGATGTCACAAATTCTGTTTTTCAACCCCGCCCCTTAAAATCAGATTTTCAATGAGCTCAGAGAAACGATCCACTTTCAGCAGAGGAATGTGAAACAGACATTCATTCAAACTTCACGCTGTAGGGAGAAGAAACACTGAGTCCTTTAACTGAGATTGTATTTATTGACTAATCCTGCTTGCAGGATTCAACTGTGTGTGTTTCTCAGATAAACTCTGGCAGCAGCAGCAGCAGCCGTTGCATCATGCGGAGGTCAGGTTGGAGGCTGTTGAACTTTACAGGAAATCTCACAACAAAAACACACAAACTGGATTTCGTTACTTTAAATTCGCTGTCTTTGCAGCCTGATACTAAACTCACAACTGTGTCTAAACCCAAAACCATAATCTAACCTAAACCTAGGGACTTCCAGTTTGTCTGATCCAAACACACACACACACACCACACACACCACAACAACTCCTCAGCAGAGGGTCGGAGGGAGGACCTCCGCTCACACTGAAGGCAGAAGGAAACTGAAGCGTCTCCAGTCGTCGGTCTTCAGGCAGCAGGATGGAGGTTCACAGCGTTCGGAGGATTGTGGTTGTTGCGGTTCTGTTGCTCGTTTCTGTGGAGCGTTCTGGTCAGTCTGAACTTTGTTTGTTTGTCAGTTTTCAGGATGAATCACACTGTAAAAAAAAAAGAAAGATTTTTCTGTTTTTTTTAAATATATAGAAATATGAATAAAATTACAAAAATATCTTGTTTTAATGTAAAAATAATGTTAAAAATCTGTAACTGTAAATAATCATTAAATTACAGCTTATTTAACATACAAAAGACGCATACGCGTACACTGTTTATTTAATAGATTACTGTAATGACTAATGACTGTTAAATTCAAGTTTAATACTGTTGATACATTTCTAAATTTGTGTAAACAAACACGACAACAGTAAAAAAAAGTTTAGTTAATTGACAGATATCTTGTTTAATTATGGACGTTTTTACAACAGAAACTTTGAATAAATGTTGTTTATCAGT